AGGGGGTTTTATTGAGTGGATACCCCTATGTGTAATCAGTTATTTAGATGCCAACTATTTGATACATCAATCTTATTGTACATTATATATTTTCAATACATATTGTTTAATGGGTAGAACATCTATCGTTGAATGCGGTATTATCTTTTTATTTATTTAAGGGTTGCAAAATGGCAATATGAGACAAGATTTACTTGGCTCTTCTTATAATTCCCACATCCAAAAAACCCCATTTTTAGTACTGGAGGATGCTGAAGTACTGTGACTTTTCTGTGTTCTCCAGCCTCCCTGACATTAACTTTACGTTAGTGTTACTTTATTCATACAGATGACAAACCTTGGGGTTTGCATCTCACAACTTTCCCTGAATAAGACTGATTTAGAGGCAAAGCATCTGTACTTGTGTAAGAGAATGAGACTTTACCTACTATTTTCACAAGTTTCCAGAAATGTTTTCTGTATACAGTATTTCAACAATCTCTTATCTCTGTTGGTTTCTTTGTAGCAATAGGAATACTATTATTATTGGAAATACAAACATGAGTGCAGCTACTCTATTGGGTAGCACTTGGCTAACTAGTCAGACACAGCACGAAGCTGCTAGTAAATGATCTTTTTTGTTTTTAAATGTGCACACAGGTGTTTGCTGCATCTGGTCTATGTTTACATAGCTTACTTTAAGCCCTGTGAATGTAAACCAGAAGCAGCACATACATCCATTCGGTGGTACGGGGAGCCACATAGGAAAATTGAGGCAAGTAACTCGGGGTGGGGTTAATGAGTCTGCAGTGAGGAGGGGAAGGGAAGTTGGTGGGGTTATGGGAGGCTGGCGGGTCTGCAGACATGGGGGATTGTCTACCTGAGGATGGGAGGTCAGAGGGGTAAAAATAGCCCTGTTAGGAAGCAGCTCGGGGAAAGCACAACACCAGGGCTTGGGCAAGCTGCTGGGTTTTCCCAGCCCCAGGGCTGCACTCTGAATGTGCATAGATGGGGTTAATCCATTCCTGAACTAAACTGGTTCAGGTGAACTAACTTAGATTGCATCACCGTTTTTTGCCCTATTTAACCCTCCTAAATGCCTGCGTAGATGGGCCTTTAGAGCAACCTGACCCTACTTAGGTTGATCTAAACATAACTCCTGAGGTTAGGATCATCTAAGTATAAATAAGTTGATAGGGACATTCTGGTGGAGATCTATATATAAAATGCTAAAAAGGTTTCAGATCTTGTAATTTAGTTGGTCAGTTTTGCTATTTTCCTTCCTGATATTGCAAAATCTACAGGAATCTTGTTTTGAAGGTTCCTGGTACCATGGAATGGAGAGATTTGATTCAATGACATCCAGCTGCTGCAGTTTGCGTACAAACTTATCCCACAAACAGAATATCTGCAGGGGCCTTGCTTTTCTCCAAATTGCTGCTTTCAGTGGAACATAACCAAACTGTTATCTCTAGGTATTTTTGTCTGGCTCTAATACATGCCGACTTGCCAAGAGTCTTGCTCAGAGTACATTTCATGTTATTTAGTCATATGGGTCCTAAGCTGTTTAGGGCTGAATGGCTCAAAATCAAAACCTTAGACTCCACATGGAAAGCAAAAGGCAGCCAGTGTATACTGCTGTGAGATTAGAAAAGATTTGAGACTTTTTGTCCCACTCTTTTGCCGAACTCCTTTCATCCCTGCTTGCTACTTGCTCAGGCTGTTCTGTGCTGGAATATAACAGTAGCCTCAGAGACAGAGGAGAATTACATGGTGAATTCAGAGGCTCCCCCAGTGTCTGTACACAGGAAGAGATGAATAGGAATGTCTGGTGGTGGTTTCCTAATGAGGGAAAGAATTTAGACTGAATGCTTTCTGTCCTTCACCAGCTAAAATAGCGTCTACACGTGCTTCCAACTGTGCAATTGTTACTGTGCAGTCCTGGTAGCACACAGGCCATTTCCAACCCTGCTGCACAGTAGCAACGCACAGTAGTGTTGGTGTCACGGTTTGTGCCTGCTGATGTTACGTCACCACTATGGCAATGTAGTATCTCGTGTAGATGCACCCAGTGGCTGGAAGACAGTGCAAGGCAAGTTCAGCCTGGAAATAGGTGCCCGTTTTTAACAGTGTGCAGATTAAGCATGCTTCAATTTCCATTGCTTGATGTCTTTAAATCAGAACTCAAAGACCTGCCATAGCTCAGACAGAACTGATGGATTTGATGCTGAAATCAGTGGTGTAGTTCTGGAACTGCAGGCAGTCAGAGTAAATGATCATACGAGATCTAAAACCTGTGAAAATGAATAGAGAGGGTAACACAAGTGCTTGGGTGGGAAAATCTCCTCAAACTGCCATAGCTATTGGATGTGTGGAGTTGTCATAATGGTCTATGTCCAAGGCTAGGTGTCTGCATGAGCAGTCAGACCTGCCAACTGCAGAGAATGCCAAGTGTGAAAAGGTGGTGTTATCACTTGGCAGTGCAAGAAGTCTTCATTGTATTTGAGGAGAAGGGTATGGATATAGACTCTGGCAGTGACCTAGAGGCATAGAAGAGGGAGTATGATTCTGGCCTTAGCCTTGAACATACAGTAGCGCAGGATTATTATTACAATTATGGCCAGTGAGCCTTGACAACTGTCACTCTGCAGAAAACACTGCTAAGTGACCTCTCCCCCAACCCTGTGTGCGCTGCTAGTCCATTAGCCAGCAATTACTGTTTGAAATGCTGCACTCTAGGCAGCTATGCAACACTGAGGCCTCAGTTACACCCCTGTAAGGCTAAACTGTGCTGAGGAAGTAGAGTAGGTATACTGCCTAGGTGGCAGTGTCTGAAAGAATTAGTCCTTTCAAAGGCATATCCCCAGTACCTAACCAGGAGTGTTGCACCTACTTAATAGCTGAAGTATGTACTCCCTCAGAACACCCATCCCAGCACACAGTGGGGGAGAAAATGCCTCCCTAGTCCTTTTAGTAATCCTGACAATACAAGTATCTTGATTTTCCAGCATTTGCAACCTAATTTATATTTTCCTTTTACATGAGGAAGCAGAAGAGGCTACAACTTTTTGTTTCCTTCCACCCAAACTCCAACATGTCTGGGTTGTATGCATCTGGCTTCGTAGGTCCCATTGCTGATGCATGTCAGTCATATGCTAGCAGCTTGACCCAGAGTAGATAAAGTGAAAGGGAATTTATTAGAGAGGGAGTGACTTTATGTCCCTTGCTCCAAACAGAGTATAACAAAATCTTTTACCATTTTTAACAGAAAAAAATTTGGGGCACCAAGCCAGGGTGGATAAGATGTCTTTCTATCACTCGAGGGGTGCAAGTTCAAAATTTGCTCTAGACTTGACCCACCCATTTTGACAAGGAAGTTGAAGTTATTCAGATGTATGCAAACCACATCACTGTGCCATTGGCTGTAAATACTGGTGTGTCCTAACTCAACTAGCTCAGTGGACTGTTTTGCTCTCTGGACCATTGATCTCAACCTTGAATTAAAATATAGCGAACTGCAGTGGCAACCTTCACAATCGGAGGTTATCAATCAGTCCCGGACAAAGTCAGGAGTTCTGAAAAATAATTTTTCTGGCTCCTTTTCAGCCTTTATAGTATACATTTTCAAGCTTTTTTCCCCCTACAGTATGAAGCGGAAAACATCTTTAAAATGAAGACTGAGATTCTCAAGAATCTGAAAAGTGGTGCTTTAAAAGAAGTCCTCATCCCAAGGTTAATGATAAGATCTGGCAAGGCCAAAGTCTGGAATTTAGCAAATGTGTGTCCTTTCTATTACGGCAGGTGTGCTGAATTCTTCAGAGAAGCTCATTTCAAACATACAGGGAATCATCTGCAAGCCTTCAGGTACTTAGTGTTTGAATTTCCCACTCCCTATAGAGAATGAACAGTCTTTCTAACTCTGCCTGCTGGCCTCAGTCTCAGGTCACCTTAGTTCCTGTGTCTGCCTCCAACTCAGGGGTCAGTAACATGTTTGGGCAGAATGCCAAAACCTCCCACAACCTCGACTTGCAAGATGTTGGTATATGTTAGGGGCAGATGGCAGGGGAGCCACAAGGGGCCCAATCCTTGCTGTGGCAGTGCAGCCCCAGCTCCTTTCCTGCTGTCCGCCCCAAAGCATGCATGCCAAGCAAAATGCCTTTGCGTGCCACACTCTGGCACCCATGCCCATCTCTGCTCTAATCCTTTTCCTGCCCAAAGATGGTCATTACCTGCCCCCCTCCCCTTTTGTCATTTCATGATTTCTCCTTGGGTGTGGCTGTCTGATACATTTACACTGGTGTGATTGATATCATTTTGTATACTGTACTGGCATTCAGGGTGGATGGATGGTCAGTTCTTTTGACAAAGCTGTGTGCAGTAGGTATGAATAGAGCTTCTTGCTAGTTGGGAGTGTGGGTGGGTTTTGGGAGGAGCTGGGAATAGTGACACAGACTGTATTTGCACACTGGTGTAACTGATCCTGTTGTATGGTTACTCTTGACTTTCCAAGGTGGAGTGCCATGCAGGGCTCTGTGTTGACTGTCCACTCCAGGTTTACACTTGTAACAGCAGATTACATCAGAGTAAATGTGTCATCTGTCTGGGCTCCTTATTGGCTCTGCATGTGGAGGCTGCCTACTGCATATATTTGGATCAGGGGTGTGAGAGCAGCTACTTTTATTATGGCGTCCTCTAGAGGAGGCCACAAAGATAATCTCCGTTCTCTTGGCTTTGATGCACAGTATTCATCTACTGATGGTAGTTTGGCGGTTATTTCTAAAGGCATGGCTCCTGTACACTGGCTATTCTGAAGCCAGTTCTGAATCCATCTGATAGTAGATGGATCTTGTTGTGTTAGTGAAAATGTAAAAGTGTGAATTTGAGCTAAAATGGAAGGGTGGTGAGCTAAAATAATAAAATAGTAGATATGTACGATTAGCTAGCTGATACCGCAATCTCAGAAGTTACACCATGCCACCATTTCAACTAAAATGTATTCATGTATAATTAAAAGCTAAGAGGTTCAAACTAAAGTGCAATTAAAAGCAATGAAGTGTGATTGAAACTGCGGGTAAAGTTTATTGAATGAAGCATTGGCTTCATCTACCCGCCATTAAAGACTGCCTGCGTATAAGGCATTAAAATAGAATGAATATGCGGATTTTTAACCATGAAAGGTTTACCCTTGGTTAGGTGAAGATGAATGTTAATTTCTAGGCTCCATTTTCTGTAGTTCCCAGCCTACCTGCCATAGTAACCAACAGACAATTCTCTTTACCTCCCTAATCGGGCCTGAATAGCATTTATCCGTTAAGTAATTAACTTATAATTGTACTGTGTTCTGACAGTGGTGTCTGCTAATAAGTCTATGCCACCCAGGTTGAGAACAGCACATAGATTCTGCTCTTGATTTATTTGTACGAAGAGATTCAAACGTTTCTTTCCAGCCTGTGTTAACTTCTTTCAGTCAGTTGGCAGCATCTTCAGGCTGAATTGTTGTGAAACAGATCTCTGTATGTTTGTACTTGCGGTAGTCGTATGTTTTCACATAAAAGCTAGAGTATTTACTATAGCTTGACAGCTCAGTTTGTGAGCTATGTGAATCTATTCTGGGTATTTCCTTTTTCTAACAAAAGATCAGGTAAAGGAACTAAAAGGCACAACATTGAGGAGATTTGTAATTCAACTGTGTGTATAAAGTATTATGTATGTTAAGCACTCCTACCAGTAGGTAGCACTGTGCCACATGGTTTTTATTGCTAATTGTGTAGCAAAACCCCCAGTTGTTCATTTGTGTTTTTTTAAATTTTAAAATACATTCCCTTCCTTTCTCTTAACCATTTCTGACTTTTTCTCTCTCTCTCTATTTGCTATAGATAAGTATAAGTGAGCTAAGACCTAGGATAAGCTTCAGCATTTTATTATGGTAGCAAGTTGTTTTTGTTTCATTATTTTTTCTCCTTTTCAAATAAGTACCCTGTTATGGATATCCACTGTTTTATATTGTATAATTATTATGTTTCTATTGATTTTTACTGTTCTCTATTACTGTTTTCCTGATACTATATGATTTAGGCCTACATATGTAAGTTAGCATAAGTCATGTCAAGTTTCCGTTTTTTTTTGTCAAGTCTCCATCTTGTGTCCCCTGCCCAGGCATACCCTATTGTAACTCCATTGTAACTGTGTGAGTCATACCTACCCCTCCTATGTAACTTAGTTCCTAAATGAATGGGGATGAATGAGGGTGCTTGAGAGACAATGGCAGTAGGTCTAAAAATAGCTCCCTCTGAATGACCGAACCATCAACTTGATGACCCAACCATCACCCTGCATTGACCCTCCCTGGCTTAAGATTTGGAAGAAAAAGACTGCTGTAGAAATCAGTCAAACCACCATTTAAGACATCTGAAACTACATGTCCTTGCCTAGGAGTGCACATGCTCAATACACCAGGGGCTGACTCTTGCCAGGGCACCCCCCTGCCACTAGGGTCATAGAGGGTCTGCCCCTATAAAAGAGGGCAGTGAAGACAGACCCAGTGGGATGACCTCTCCATCTGGACCAGCACCATGCCATACCACCTATCCACCCAGCGGCCCTTCTGGCAACCCCCCATCTGGACAATACCTTGCTGGAGAAGACCCTGACTGGCTATTGAGGATCTACTCACAGCCCAGGATAGGTAACTATCACCCACCTTCTTTCCCCAAGCAAAGGACTTGGACTCTGGTTCTCTTCCCTACCCGGACTCCAACCCTTCTACTGAGTCTTTTTCTCCTGTTACCATTGTGAGTGCTTGTGTGTGTGTAGGAACCAATAACTTCATGGGGCTGTGTGGTGTGTTTCTGTTTAATAAACTTTTTATTTTGAAACCAGGAGTTGGGTTTTTGTCTGTTTCCTCCTTGCCACAACTTATCTGCCCCCTGATCTCCCAGCTTTCAGCCTCAGTTTCCAGCCTCAATCTTCCAGCCTTCTGCCTCTCTCTTTCCTGGCTGTCTACTCCTTGCCACCGGGCTTTTTCCTTTGCTTCCACCCCAGCACCAGTGACCTTGAGTAACCCTGGGGCCACTTGACCTTAAGTAACCCCAAGCCTCAGTTCTTCAGCCCAGCTTCTCCCTAGTCTACTGGTTCTAATCCTGGTCCTGGCAACTTTCACTCTCTAACCTTAACCTTCCCCCCAGGTATCCCAAGTACCCCAAGCACACACACACACACACACACACACATTCCCCATACCATCCAAGTTAGGAACTCACCTGTGCATATGTGTAGGTGGGTGGTATGTGTGTGAACTGGTGAATATATGTGTCATCATGTGCGTGATATATGAGTTAGTGCTATGTGTATGTGTACTGAGTGTATGGGTATTGACAATTGATTGTTGTCTAATTTTTGGTGTGTGTATGTGCTTGAATTGGTAATAGGTATGCATGTGCCTAGGCTGGTTTGGATGTGTATGTGCCTGAGTTGGTTGTGTGTGTGTGTGTGTGTGTGTGTGTATGCACCTAATTGATTTGTGTGTTTGTATATGTGCAATTGTGTCACACCCTCCTGTCTAACAGCACAATATTGAGATCCTGAGAGTTGGCCTGGCCCCACAGGACAACAATTGTTGCTTGCTGGTCTGTTTGCAAGCCTTCAGCTAAGTTTTTTGTTAGTACAATAAAGCTGGTGGCCTTATTGCTCCCTGTCTGATCTCCCTGGGGCAAACAAAACCCTGTAAAACATGTGTTTGTGGGCGCGCACACACACACACACTCTATAACTTCAATAACTAAGAAGTAAATTGGTAAATTTTATGTTGGGACAAAATTTAGAGAGAATTTTTAAATGACTCCTTGGCTTTGTTAATACTAGCACTTGCAAGAGAAGAGTCTGTTCACAAATTAGCCTTAAATAACCTTGCAGCAATCAGTTCAGGAATTCATCTATTATGAAGCCACCAATTAATAGTAATTTTGAAGCTTGAAGATTAATTCCTTTTTTTAAGAAATAGAAAAGATCCTGGAAAGAATCCTTGGAACATGGTTAAAAAACAATACCGTGGGAATTGAAAACATTTCACATTGTATGTTTTAATGAAAGGAGAAGATCTTAAACATTGCTAAGATATTGACAAGTGTACATGTCATCCAAAAGTTGAAGTTTTTTACACTTCATGAGTTTTAATGAACTTGAGCCAGCTCCTCATTTGTGAAAATTTTCCCAAGTGAAAATAAATAATGAACAGAAGGTGTGAGCAGCACATCTAGAAAAATTTCTTGCATACCATGTACCCCCAAATAAAACATACACTGTATTATATGAAGGCAGAATGAAGAAAAACTTTTGCAGAATCATGGCTGCATGGAACAGGGATAAAGCCCGCTGTTCAGCCCATTCACCCTCCCTTTCCTGCTCGGGCAAAAGCTATAGTTTAACCCTCTTTCAGCTGCTGCTGAATTGAAAGCAGTATTTGGCATGTTATGTACTGAATATTTTGACCACTCATCCAAAAGTTATTGCCAATTCAGCAGCTGTGGGAGGGTTGAAACTGTAGTTGCCATTAAAGAATGGACATTCCTCCTCCCTCCATGTGGGTGGCTGAAGGGTAGAAAAGGAAGAAAAGCAGCAGCCATTACAGTGTCTCCATGCTCCTATTCTGGGCAGAAAGTTAGTTTTCCCACTTAAGATGTACACCCTGACTTTGGAGGGCTAATTCTTTGTGGGGAAAAGTTGCACATGGTGTGTGTGTATGTGAATACTCACCATGCTAAGATGAAAGTACCACAGAAGAAAATATTTATCACTGGGCAAACTTGACTATTCCATGCAGGTCTCTTTAGCAGCTCATATTTTGGGAAAATGAACAGAAATAACTGAAAATGACATGCATCTTTTCAGTGCATTTCTCCATGATGAGTGAAAGCTACAAGCCTGCTAGTATGTTCTTTTCAATAGAAATCAGTCAGGGGTAGAAAACACAAATGGCACTTTGTTGATGTGGGGATTGACACAGCAGTTCCCAATTACCTGACTGGTGGAGTTTTTGTCTTCTCTCCCCAAACTCTATCCCTGTGAAAATATGTAGCTTAAGAATTCTATTTAACATTTTCCTGCATGAAATCTTTGAGATAATCTTAATGTAAGTAGTTAAAAGGGATAGCAGTTGACAGATATGGTTATGATTTGGAATACGGCTAACTAAAAACCACTTTTGTCTCTGTGATACCACTGAAGGTACCATCAAGGGACTATTCAAAATAACTCGTATCCAATTTAAATGGGAGGTAACTTGCCTTTTAACTCTTCTCACATTGGACTTGTTGTGCTACAATATACCCTATAAGAATTATGTATTACCTTATTGTTTTGTGGGGTGGTAAGGTGAGGGATGTCTGTTTCTGTATAGTGGTCTGCTTAGAAGGGGAGAACCTATATATTTATAGGTTGCTTATTCCGTTAATTTTATGGATTCCAGAATTTGAAATGACTCAGCTTAAGCCATGTGCCTCTTAAATAAATCTAAGTACACAGCTACTGAAAAGTGTAATTTTTGTGAATATAGTATTAGGGTATCTTTCCGAATAGCAGGCATTCAGAATCTATTATCCCATTGCTTATTAATGGCTAAACATTGTTCATTACTATGAATACTCCATAAGATTTTAAACTCTTGTCAGTGCATCATTGTTGGACAATATGGCTTTATGTCAGGTTTTAATTTCTAGAACCTTGGAGCTTGGTCCACATTTAGCTTAGGTCAAAATAAAACGACCTCTCTGCAGTTGATATCATGCCCAAATCAAAAAACTAGATTAAAATTTGGAAAAAAATCACCTTTTAGAGGAAGCCCAGATGGATACCGATGAAGATTAAAGAATAATGTCTGAAGTCTGTTGGCAGAGATGTGTGGGAAAGTTGGAATCATACCAATTTAATGTCACCTGCTTCTAACCCTTTCTCACTTCCTCTTGATTTTTATATTGCTGTGACAGAGTGCAGACACCCTTTAAGGATCTAGAAGTAGGGTGACTATATGGGACAATGTGAAATCCTGGATGCTGTTGTTTCTCCTTGCTCCCTGCTGCTGTTGCTGTTTACATGGAGTCCATGGCCCATTATTAGTGATCCATTGTTTCTTACTTCACAGGTGTTAACATGTGTTAACAATAGAGCTTCTGCTGCTGTGCCTGGGACACTCATTTTAATTTTCACCTGAAAGCTGGAACTGGCCTCTAAAATCTGGGACTGTCCTGGCCAATCTGTCCTGGGATATATGGGCTAGGGACAGACATTCAAAAAGCTGGAGCCTGAATTGATTCAATCTTTGCAGGTTAGTCTAACCTTTGTAGATTGAACCAATTTGCAAGTGAATAGACATTCAGGAAATGTAGGCACATAACTGCAGTGGCTCAGGCACTAGAGCAAGCCCTCAGTTGCAAGGAAGCTATGCTGGGGGTGCATGGCTAGCATTGGGAGTACCCTCAAGTGATCACCCAGCCACACTCCCTGCCTGCTTTGGACCCCAGCCAGGCTGTGCCCAGCACAGGGGGTGGGAAGCCCTCAGAGGGGACCGTTTCTCTCCCTGCACTCTCTCCTCAGATGGCTGCCGGTGCTGATGGCTCCAGGCTGCAGGGAAGCCTGCGATGGGGGCTTTACACCTTTGCCTGAGATGGGAGCTGGGGTTATCACCTGGCCATGCCCCCTGCCCGGCTGGCAGGCCAGCTGAAGAGGGAATGTGGGGCGTGGAGGGGGAACTCCCTTTCCCCCCCACCCCAGCTTTGGACAATGCTGTGCCCAACACAGGGGGCGGGGGCGGGGGCG